AACAAAATAAATAATTATTATCTTTATAAAAAATTATATTATTAAACCAAATATAAATTACTTCTTTATTGTATATAAATTAAATTATAAAAAAATTGAATTAAAAAATTATATAAAAAATGAGAAATTTCATATAGTTAATTTGATACTAATATTGATATATTTTTGTCAAATTTTTATGATATCTTCAAACATAGATTTTATTCAAAAATAAAAACATCATTGTTTTCTCAAAATCACATAAAGTCATATTATAACATCGACTGAGATAAAAAATAAAATGAAATATTAAAAATCACGATGTATCTCGCTGCATTGCTCGAGTACGCTTCTAGTTATCTTATAAAGCATTTGGCTAAAACTCTTAAAAACTCTTAAACCCTTCACATATCTGAATTCGTGTAACTAACTATAGATAAACACAATCAAATACAGGATAAAACATTTCATTTTAAATATAAAAAATCTAAAATATAATTTGTATAATCATTAAATTCTAACAGAATACTTAATTATTATATTTATAAAATTTATAATTTTAAACCAAAAATAAATCGTTTTATTATTAAACTTAAATTAATTTATATAAAAAAATACATTCTATATTATAAATCATTTGACAAAAACATTTAAAAACCATTTTTTATGTGTAAAATACTATTTATTAATGCATATTACTTAAAAGGGAAAAGTCCAAAAAAACCCAATGGACTTTACAGTTTGGAACGATTAAGTTATTGGACAATTTTTTGGAACAAATAAATCATTTAACATTCTAAAATCTGTTAAATAAATCATTAAACTTTTTAAAACATGTTAAATAGATCTTCATTCCTTAAAATTGTAACTTAGGGGGTGTTTGGGATTGCTTATTTTATCTGCTTATTGACTTATTTCAGTCTGGTACCGGTGATAAGCTAATACCTGGCGTTTGGATAAGAAAAAAGAAAACTGCTTATACCGGTGCCAAACCGGTAATAAACAGTTTTTGATAAGTTAATCCATCATGACTTATGAAAAACTGCTTATTACCAGTTTACCATTTTAACCCTATTACCCTTTATACCTATCTCTTTTCCTCGAGATAACATCGATCTCAATCTTCTCCCTTCTCCGGATAAAAATATCAATATTCTCTCTGTCATTTTTGGTCATTTTACAGATATAAGCAAAATTTTCCAAACACTAAAAAACAACTTATCAGCTTATTGCGGTTTGGTACCGCTATAAGCTAATCCAAACACTTTTTACAAAACTTCAATTTGATACCACATAAGTTAATAAGCACTTTTACAAAAAAAACATAAGTTGTTTTAAATAAGCAATCCCAAACACCCCATTAACCTTAACCTTAACCTTAACCTTAACCTGTAACCTGAAATTAAAAAAAAAAAACTTCAAAAATCCTAAAAACTTTTGACTACTCATCTCCTTCCTCTCGTGACCACCGCTCCCTCCCGTCTCCTTCTCCCTCACACACCGTCATCTCCCTCGCCCCCATCGCCGCCGCCGCACCACCGCCGCACCATCACCAGGTTGGCTTCCCCTTATGTCTGGAATCACGAGTGTCGCCCTTAGGTATCTTGCCACTACTACTGCATCAGTAACTTGAGGTTTACAATCACCATGGTTAAGATTTGATGAAACACAAAGATTCGACAAAAGGTTGCAATACATGATTTTGACATAAGAAACAGAATGAAATGTGTTGATTTCTTTTGTTTCTATTCCTTTCCCTTTCTTCCTCTCTCTGTGCAGACTTCATTAACTCAATTTTGTGAAACCAACACAATTTGTTTGTAAGGAAATCCCACCACCCATTTACCATTCCAGATGAAATTAGAGCGAAACCAGGGTAAGGAACAAGGTAATTAAAGACAGAAGTAGAAGCAAAGGTAGCAGGTGTAGGTTTGGACTTTTATCAAATACCTGGGAGACATGGTATTTGGGTCCGTTGGTTAATGAGAAAGTGACAAATCCTTTAGATTCTTCTACCTCTTCTATAAGATTTCAAAGAAAGTGACGTTAGAAATAGACATCAATGAAAATGTTTAGATTAGTTTCAGATAGTGTGTAGCACTGACCCAAATCTGGTTTAGACCAGCAAGGCTTGAGAGCAGTATCTTCCTCCTTCCAAGGATCATCGCCAGCCGAATCAAATGCGAGGCTTTTCTCTGAATCCTCAACACTTTGGGTGGATCCAGCATGGTTGACCTATATGAAAGGTAATTAGTAATGTGTATCTGAATTCTGATGGTAAAATAAATGAGGGTTTGAAAAGGGCATATAATTAAAACGGGACCAATTCCAATTATGGTTGGAGATTCAACGTGAGATAAAAGAAAATGATAAGAGTGAAGAAGAAGAAGCATACATGATGAGAAACAGGAGCGTCAAAGTGTTCACGCTTAATCATGTTGCCAAGCATTAGATTGTAAGTACTTTTTTTCTTTAAAAAATATTTATGGACTTGAACGTTTAAAATATAAAAATCTGTTGGTTTTTTCGGACCTTTTCCACTAACAAAATGTATTTAACAGATTTTAGAAAGTCCAAGGACTTATTTAACAGGTTTTGTAAAGTCCAATGACTTATTTAACATGTTCTAGAATGTCCAAGGATTTATTTGTTCCAAAAAATTGTCCAAGAACTTAATCGTTCCAAACAGTAAAAGTCCATTAGGTTTTTTTGGACTTTTCCCAACCTAAAAAATACAAGTATATATTAGGATACGGGTCGGGTAAAAGCACCATATATATATGATCCAGGATAGATAGGACTAGAATTTCCCAAATAAGGATAAGATAAAACCTACACACACCCACATGGATTTCACATAATCTCAGAAATCAAAATCAAAGAAAAAGAGGAAGAAAAAAAAAGCAACAATGGGGTTTGTTTCATTCCTCTCAACACTCCCAACTCTGCTTCCAATTGCTCCATTACCTTCCTACAATTCATCAAAATGCCCAATTCATTCTGTAAGTTTTTTTCTTCAATTCTGTCAGGACTCAAATTAGCAATTATTGTGTGTTGATCTGATTGATTCATATGTGAATTTGATGAATAGGGAACGATTAGTTGTAAAATTGATGATGGTGGTAGCAATGAGAAGAGTGTTCGGAGAAGGGACATTCTTAACTGCTTTGGGGCTGCCATTAGCATGGTAATAATTATTCTTCTCTTTTACCCCCCTTTTCATATCTTATTCACATGTGAATGGTTCCTCTTTACGTTTTGAAGCTTTAATCGAAATGCTATTCTTACAAGCTCCATTACTGCAAGTCTGCAATTCAAGTGTAAATATATGTATGTATGTATATACAAAAAGTTGATAGATATTTATAGGTAGCAAATCAAACTAGCCAACATGTGTACCAACTGTATCGATTACAGTTGATTGATAGTACCCTACCAAGTATGCAAACTTTTTTGGTACACGGTATTAGAAGTTGCGTACCTGGGGTAGTACATGGTACTGACTTATTTACTTATTTATTAGTTTTTGTATTTTCTATGCATTGGATATTAAACATTGTAACTTCAAATATTTTGTTTGAACATATGTTTGCAAGTCTTATTCTTTCTAAAAAATATCATATGTTACATGGAAACTTAAAAGGTCACTCAAGATTTGATCAATATGACAAGTTTTCATATATGTAACTTAAATTTGGTACAAAACCAGTGCTGGCACATATCAATCGAAAAAGTGTTGGTACCAAGTAAAGTTGGTTGGTACACAATATAGGATTTTGCATACCAATTATAATTGGTTGGTACACGGTATTGGGGAAAAAAATTGTTACTGTACCAAGTCCACCTTTGGTTATAGTAATTATAAAATTAGTTTTAACGAGCTTGTATACATTTGTGCAATGCTATATAGTACAATGTGAAAATATAATATGCCATGTTTAGCATTATCTTATGACGTTATTAAAAAAGTCTCTTTTGGTTAGCCGTAAGATAAGCTCGCTTTTTGAGAAACTACTTCAAGGCGTTTCAGTAAGTTCCCGGGGAATTTTTCCGCTTTTTTCCAATTATGCCCCTTATGTTTTTTAATTGATTTTTTCCCGCTTTTATCCAATTATGACCATTTTAGGCCGTTTTACATTCTCATCTAGTTTTTCAGCCGACTTATTAGCCAACAACTAACTTTTCAACCAACAAGTAGATTATCCGCAAACATCTAGTTTGCCAAAACATAGCTTGAGCTATTAATGCAGCTTTTTTTGTTCTGTTTTGAACATAAAACTGAATGTGATTATCAAACCATGTTTGGGTTGATTACGATTTTCGGCTTTTGTTTATTATATTTTGGGTTTTTTGGTCTTTTTTGCTGACCCCTTGATAGAAAGCTTATAAATACCCTTGTATTGATGAAGCACAACTTAAGGGGCCATTTACTAAACACTTTTCCTTGGCAACCGCTTACCGGTTCAATTACCTTACCGGGTGAACATAACAAGGACTGAGAATTTAACCCTGTAAGAGGGAAGACAAGGATCAAGAGTCTTACCCAGTAAGTGAGGGTGATGACTCTTACCGGTAAGCGCTTGCTAGGTTATAAATGCTTACCATTAATCCATTTTGATGGTCGGGAATGTTACCCATAAAGTTAGTGAGAGTGGCGATTCTTGCTGGGTAAGCATTTGGTAAACGACTCCTTAGACTATAGTTGCATAGAAGTAATGCATGTTTCTTTCATGAATTAGAGTGATGTGATCATGAGTTTCTGCCAGTTGTTCTCTCTCCATAGGAATTGGTGGCAAGTTCAACCCAAACCCCGAGCCCGTTTGTTGAGGTAGCAAATGCTGCTGATCTGATACAACGTAGACAACGTTCCGAGTTTCAATGTAAGCTTCTCAATTGCCCCTTTTAACTCCTGCTCTATATCAACGTTCAAAGATCCAACTTGTTGAAACTCAAACAAACCCAGTAAATCTCACACGAAATAGGGTCTAGGGAGGGTATGATGTATCCTTACCTCCACCCCGTGGGGTAGAGAGGTTGTTTCCTTGAAGTCTAAATGTTAGTGATAATGTGCTTCTATCTATCCCCTATTTTCAAAATAATTCTTTGGTATTTAACTAAAAACTTAGTTTTTAAAACCAACTATTTGTGTATAATACTTTATGTTATATAAATTACAATTTCAAGGATCTCCTTATCATTACACGGAATGTACTTTACATAATCTCGATGTCGTGAGTCAACAACCGTTCGCTCATGATTGACCTTATGATCTATCCGGTAGTTAACTTTTCCATGTCAATGAACAATAGGCATCTTAAAACATTGGTTTGTGTGAGAATATGTGGAACCCCATTAGATTACTCTCCAAAAGATCCCTTGAGGAGAGAATGGAGTGTCAAGAGGGGGCTAGACCGGTACAAAATTCCCCGTTGTGTCAAGTCCCTAGAGTGTTATGTATGGGCTTTTATACCACGTGGGAATATGTGGAACCCCATTAGATTACTCTCCAAAAATGCCCTTGAGGAGAGAACGGAGTGTCAACAGGGGGCTAGACCAGTACAGATTGCCCCAGAGTGTCGAGTCTTTAGAGTGGTTGACCTTGGCTCTGATACCATGTGAGAATATAGAACCCCATCAGATTACTCTCCAAAAGATTCCTTGAGGAGAGAATGGAGCGTCAAGAGGGGGCTAGACCAATACATATATATCCCTAGAGTGTCGATGTTAGACCTTGGCTCTGATACCATATGTGAATACGTTGAACCCCATCATATTACTCTGCAAAAAAGCCCTTGAGGAGAGAAGGGAGGTTCCAACAATATATTGAACATATATGGTCCAAGTCTAGTCGATGCGGGTTCAGCACCTTTTGTTTGTGTGCGAATGCATGTGCAAGAATATTAAGCTGCAAATACACAAATTATACATACAAATACGTAGCTCGAGCGTATATTAGCTTATCTCTACATTCTTTCAAACTCAAACTTTATCTTCTTTTTTCTTTTTCATTTGGCAGCAAGTATAAAGACAACCCTCTACACAGCCATCAAGGTAAATTGTGACAAATTCTTTTTCGTCATATATCAAGGGTCAGGGTGAGCCTTCGGGCAACTAGCAACCGGCAAGGTCATGGGTTCTAGACATGAAAACAGAGACGAGTAGCCTTGGTGGACCGAGGTCGCTTGTGGTTTTAGATAAATCTTACTTTTTGTTTATATTTCAGGCAAATCAGGAGCTTATTCCATCCATATTAACGTTAGCACTTAATGATGTGATGACATATGATAAGGTCAACCGACAACCTATTTAATATGTAGTTTCTTGAAGGGTAAAATGCATCAAAATGCAATGAAGTTTGCTTTAGTTCCTATTTAGTGTAACAAAGAATTCTTTTTCTCAACTGAGTTTCAAAATTTCCTTTTTAATGCAACAATTTGTTTCATAACTTATTGTTTTGTACCCATTTTTATCGGTAACCTGCTGATCATTTAACATTTGATGACGTGAATGCTAAGTTTGTCGTCTGCGTAGTAACCCTTTCCTAAACTGGTATCCACCTCATCAAAAATGTTACAAGATTAGCAGGTTACTGGTCAAAATGTGTACGAAATAGTAAAAAATCTTGAAACTTTGTTACATCAATTGGGAGAAAAAGAATTATTTGTTACAGTAAATAAGAACTTAACCAAACTTTGTTACATTTCTATGCATTTTGCAGTTTCTTGAATGCTGTTGATCGGTAAAAAACTGATTTGTTTATTGTTAAGCATGTAGGCCACAAAATCTGGAGGCCCAAATGGATCCATACGGTTTAGGTAATGACCGGTCTTTCACATGTTTAACGAAAATTGCCCCATTTCATTTGCATAGTATAAGTTGTACTATGATCTATTTGAAAGATTTGAGTTCATAATAGCAAAAAACGAGCATCAAATTTCGTATTACTTTTGAGTATACACATTTTCAGGGGTTTTAGCTCAAAAACTCGAATTTGCACTTGTATTTCTTTTTTGCATGAAGCTCGGAGATCAGCAGACCGGAAAACAAAGGACTTTCTGCTGCTTTATCACTGGTGGAGGATGCAAAAAAGGAGATCGATTCTTACTCGAAAGGTGGACCAATTTCATATTCCGATCTCATCCAATTAGCAGGTTAACGGCAGACTTTTAAGTTTTAATTCCGAGAAAGTTTCCGTTTTGATGTTCGTTTTATGTGTACGTTTGAAAATGCGTCATTGTTCCATATGTGAAACTTCAAGACTATTTTTTTCCGTACACAAAACAGTCCTAAACGTTTCACATATGAAACAAGACTGTTGTAAAACTGCATTTTCACACGTGTTGTTTCACATGAAAAATTGGTTCGTAAATTTGTATGATTTATTGGGTTTGTAAATGATTATGAAGTTCAATAACAACTCATTTGACTCTTGAAAGTCAAAGGATGACCATTTTTTTACATTCTCTAAGTAGCTTTAGTAACTTGATGTAGCTCAAAGTGCTCTTAAAGCTACATTTTTGGCTTCGGCTATTCGAAAATGTGGTGGTAACGAAGAAAAAGGGAACTTGTTATACTCTGCTTATGGCTCAAGTGGACAGGTTAGTTTCTCTCTATCTTTGTCGTACTTCCCATTTTTTGCTTTCTTGATGTAGCGATTCGTTACTTTGATCTCGATTTGTTAATTTTATCTTCGGGAATGGCGTGAATCCATTCGTTTCTATCATTTTCATACTCTTTATTCTCTGCTTTTTTGTATAGTGGGGTTTGTTTGATAGGCAATTTGGACGATCGGATGCTCAAGAACCTGATCCGGAGGGAAGAGTACTCGATTGGGCAAAAGCAAGTGTTCAAGAAATGAAAGAAAAGTTTATAGCCATCGGCTTTGGTCCTCGCCAGGTAGCTTCTCATCTTGTTTCCCAGAAAGAGAACTTTCACATTCATATATGAATATACATTATATTCATTATGAATACACACTATATTCATTATGAATACGCTATATTGATTTCATATATGAATATAGTTTATATTCATATGAGCATGACACTGTAGAGTAGACAAGCCAACTCGTCAAAAAAGCTTTGTGAGTCGTAGCCATTTCGTCATTTAAGGAGCGCTGGTGCACCCAGGTCGTGTTTTACTCATTTGCTGAGATTGTTTTTCTTTTTTCTGAGCCAGTAAACCCGTCTTCATTCGATTATGCAGCTAGCAGTAATGTCAGCATTCTTGGGTCCTGATCAATTGGCAACGGAAGCCATGTTAGCCATGGATCCAGACGTCACTAAATGGGTCGAGAAATACCAACGAAGCAGAGAAACGGTTTCTGAGACTGACTATGAGGTTAGCATCACATCTACAAACCCCCTTTTTGATAAACTAAATGACTATTTTGCCCTTAACAATAGAGGAAGCGATGGATTTCTCTATCTTATAATTAAGGGTATAATTGGAAAATTGACACTTACTTTCAAAAGCAGACACTTATTTTGGGCGACTAAAATAGAAAAGTGTACAATTATTTTGGGATGGAACATGTGGTATTTTTATAAGAACGATCAGATTTGCAGGAGACTTTTTTGTCTAAAGTCGTTCATCCTTGCAAATTGTTGGTGTTTTTTTGTTGAATTTTGACAAAAACGATAATTGTCCACATCGAACAGCCAAATACGATGGTTTGAAAAGTTATATCCCGAGATGTTGATAGAATTGTTGATCGTTTTCTTTTGCAGGTCGATTTGATTACAACTCTTACGAAAATGAGTTGCTTGGGTCAAACCATTAACTACGAGGCCTACTCGTACCCTGTCCAGAAGCTCGATTTCTCAAAACTCAAGTTGTAAAAACGGTAGATACTACGATTTATCATCATGGAACGGATAACACGAATAGAGTCACGAATATGACTGGTTTGGGCTGTGAAAATGTTTATTCGCTTGCGGCATATATCCGAGAAGAGTGTGGTTTTGTTTTAGAAAAGGTTCGCATTTAGAAAGTTACGATTACATTCATAAACATTGTAATGATTTTTTTTCATGTATCGAAACGATAAAACTCATGTGATATATGTTATATTCGGTAATTGCGGGTGTTTGAGGCAGCTTATGCGTTCCTCGACCAGGGTCTTGATGTTTATAGTTACACAAACCCTTCAATTATGCTCAAGGACATTTGCTATGTTTAGTAACATTAGGTGTTTGATTCAGCTTGCACACACCTCGACTACAGTCTCGAACTTAATAGTTAGACAAACCCTTCAATGGTTCTGAAGGGCATTTGGTATGTTTTGTAACTGTGAGTGTTTGTGCAGGCTTATGTGCTCCTTGACTAATCTCATGGAGTCCTGAAGTTAACAGTCAGACTGACTCTCCCGTGGTAGTGACCCTGAAGGACATATATTGGTGTTTGGGTCGACTTATGTGTTCCTAGATTAATCCCATGGAATCTTGAAGTTAACAATCAGACAAACCTTTCAGTAATCCTGAAGGACATCTGTTATTGTTTTCACTATGTGAAAAAAGCCGGTTCTCGGTTTGATTTGGTTAAGCTACCAACGACAAACACGAGCCATGGTTTGGTCTTGTCAAAATCGAGTTTCGGTTAAAGCAAATAAGTGGCTCTTGAATTTTAACGTTTTTGTGTGGGGTTTTGTTTCATTCAGAATTTGATTCGATTCCGAACATGTACATGTCCCCAGATTTCTCATAAACGTTACATTTCTTGCGAAGCTAAAATCTTTATTTGCTTAAAAAATTAGTACTAACTTTTAGAAAATGGTAAAACACATCAAAATATAACGAAGTTTGTCTTAAATTTCTATTTATGGTAGTAACAGAATTATTTTTCTCAACTCAAGGAATATAATAAACATTCACTTATGTTTATTTTATTCAAAACTTACCCAATAAATGGGTTTTCAGATCTTACTATGGTATCAGACTATCGTCAATCTTGATGTGTCATTTTTTTCAACGTTATATAACTTGACAATTGATACCTGCATATTATATATATATATATATATATATATATATATATATATATATAT